GATTTGATTTAGGTTTAATAATATATTTTTTTATAAAGATAATAATTAAGTATTCTGTTAGAACTTAATAATTATCCTAATTATATTTTAGTTTTTCTTTATTTTAAAATGAGATGTTTATCCTCTATTTGATTATGTTTATCCGTAGTTAGTTACACAAATTCAAACATAAAGCTTTAATAAGTTGTACTTATGCACAATTTACTTGTAATTATGAATTTTAAGTAATATGCATCAATAAACAGTACTTCATGCATAAAAAATGATTTTTAATAGTTTTTGTCAAATGCTTTATAATATAGTGTGTGTGTATATATATATATATATATAGAGAGAGAGAGAGAGAGAGGGGAGGGATCAATTGCAAACCACACTCATTTGTGAAAACCTTACAAACCAATCTCATTCATACATTTTCTCCATCAATGGTCAATGTTAAATGAGTTTATATTAGGAAATAAAAAAATAAAAGTTCAATTTTCAATTAAAAAAGGGCAAATTTGTCAAATCTCCAACAATGAATTAGGTATATCCTAATAACTATTGTTAATTATATAAATGTATTAACAAAAACGTTTCTTATGGAAGAAGGTAAAAAATTTTTCTTAATATAATTTTTTTACCATTAATATTTTTTATTATTTTATTAAGTTATACTTATTAAAATATGAACTGTAAAAGCAGTAGAATATGAAATATGTGTTTGTTTCATTGAAAAAATATATATACTTCGAGTAATGAAACGAATGTCATGTTCAATAGTGACCATGAACACAATTTTACTGATGAATTTAATTTATTAATATTTCGAAACGTTTTATGCATGAAAAACATTCATTAAATTAAAAAAATATTCAATTTTTAAAATGTTTCATTAAATTTATAAAAATGTTTCATTTTTTATATGTTTCATCGTTTATTACGATTTCTTTTGTTTTAAAATTATTTTGATTAGAAATTATTAATAGTCAAATACTAATTCAATAACCGTTAATGAAACAGTTGGCAATTATCGTTCAACACTACATGACAATCGGTTCGTCTTTCATTGTAGGTGGCAAGGAGTCAAATAAGTTTGTTCTATAAAGGGTGAAACAGTTCATTTCTTGTCACCTACAATGAATTAGGTATATTCTAATGAATTATGAAACATAAAACATACTATAATCAACAAAAAATAATGAAACATTTTGAATACTAAATCAAAGATTTTGTTTCATTAAATCAAAAATATGAAACTGTTTCATTATTTTTTTGTTTCAATACTAATTCAGTAACCGTTAATGAAACTGTTTCATTAAATCAAGAAAAAAAAAGAACACAGGTTTCATATTCTACTGTTTTTACAATTCATATTTTAATAAGTATAATTTAATAAAATAATAATAATAATTTAATGGTAAAAAATTATATTAAGAAAAAAGATTTTACCTCCTTCCATATGAAACGTTTCCATTAATACATTTTCATAATTAACAGTAGTTATTATCTTCCAATATTAATCAATATACGATGAACTGACCATTATACCCTTACTTATTAAAATCAAATAAAAAACGGAATTTTTCTATTGGTTGAAAGTGGTTTGCATA